GAATTTATACTGTGCTTCTAGTACACTGTAAACTTGGACCAGAGAGCTCTGTATCGATACCAGTTATTTTCACATGTTTTAGAATCATTGAGGTATTATTTACTTTTGTATTTTGTTTATATAATAGGGATGCTATCCTTGCTTCACAGGGTTCAAGCCCACATTTATTGAGTATTCAGGTCCTTCTTCTCCAAATAGCTTACAATACAGCAGAAGAGATATAAGTACATGAATTAACTATGAAATAAGAAGATAATATTAAAATATTTTATTTCTACAAACCCTGGGAATTCTACCATCATCTGATGTCTAACTATATTTCTTTGGCCTCTGTATTTTATCAAGGAGGAAACAGAGAGATAATTCATTGAGATTTAAGAGTTTTTGCCCAATAAATACATAATGAATGTCGTTCACTAACTTGTTTCTTTAGCAAATATCTATTGTGTCTATTTGGTGTACCAAGTTCTGTTTTTGGCTCTGAGAATGTAGAGGTTAAGACAAGGTCCTTTTCCTTGGAGAGACATAATATTAACTAAGATACAATATGAGAAATTTTGCTATCTAGGTATGTTACAGGGCACCATCTGAACACAGAACAAGCAAGAGCAAACTAGGCTACTTAGTCAGGAAAGGCTCTCAGTCACAAAATAATGTAAAAGATATCCAGGCAGAAAAAAAAAATGGTACAGTTATTTCTATTTTGTTTTTTCTTATTATATATTTTTAATTTTCCAATATATGTGTAGATTACATATATAATTATGAATAAATTTTATTTTAAATGTTTGAACATGTGAGAGAGGCCTCCACATCTTATTTTTTTAAAGTGTCTTTGAGAGTGCCATTATCTTCAATAAAACAAGAAAATGTAGAATCATCTCATTAACACTGCAGGAAAGAGAGAAGTCCTGCTGTTTCTGTTAAGTAGTACATACTAAATGAAAATTATCTGTATAGATTTGTACTATTCATTATATCACATAAAATGGCATTGTTGATTTCTTAAAATCATTATGTTAATTTTAATACTATAAAGTAACTATAAAGAAGTAAAAGTTTTTAATAAATAAATTTATAAGAAATTATTCAAATTAATGTCTTACATTGGAAAGATATCCTTTGTTTATGATTTAAGAGTTCTGATATTTATATTTAATTTATTAAACAAATATGTATTGAATATCTACTATGTGCCAGACACTGTTCTAAGCCTTGGAAATATAACAGTGAACAAAATGGATGAAAATCTCTGTTCTCTAAGAACATAAGCTTACTCTGTTGTGGCAGGGATAGTTAATGAAGAGATTGATAATAAAATATGGTATGTCAGATCATAGTATGCTATGGGGAAAAATAAAGGAGGAAATGTTGTTGGATGTATTAGGAAAGATGGATGAGGTCGTTATTCAAAGCATGTTTATTGATAAGCCAGTATTTGAAAGGAGTCCTGAAGAAGGTGAGGAAGCAAACCATGCAGGTGTCTAAAGGAAGAGGATCCAGAAAGGGAACACCTACAAAGCCTTGAGATGGATACACGCTTCTCAGGTTGAAGGAACAGTCAGGAGCCCCGAAGGGCTGGGATGTTGGGGAGGTACCAGAACAGTAATGAGAAAGGTGTAACAAGGCCAGATTCTATTGGCCTCATTGGCCATGGTGAAGACTTGGCTCTAACTCTAACTGAGATGGCAGCCATTGGAGGGTTTTGAGTCGAAGAGGCATGATTGTACCAAAAAGATGACTCTGGCTCCTGTGTTAAGGCTAAACTCTGGGAGACCAGGGTGACTCTAGGAGACCAGTTAAAGGCTATTGCAATATTCCAGGTGAGAGAAGATGGTGGCTCAGGGCAGTGTGGTGATGGAGATCAGATGATAGATACATGGTTACACCTAAAACCTGATCATTACTAGTCATTGCTCCCTGCCCCCCATCAGTGAGTTCCACTTTAAGTATCTCAGTCTGGCTTGCCTTTTCTAACTAGTACTTTCTTCTAGCACTTCAACTGCAACACATTTTTTAAAAGACATTAGAAGCTACAATTCATTGATCCTACCACCTTTTCATTGTCCCTCTTGGCTTCATTACCTTTGTAATTCAGCTTAGCTTCCATGGGCCCATTGAAAGTCCTAGCATGGACTCTTAATTTCCACGTATCTCTTTTTGGTGTGTTGTTGACCTTGTCCTGAAACACCACAAATCCCATTAATTACAATTCTGTCTACTTATACCTGGACCCAGACAGCTGAACCTCACTGGAGAAAAACACACAAACATGCTTACTGACCTCGCTTTCACCATCACAGAAAGGGAGCTCTTAGGACTTCCTGACAATCCTACTACATTTTCCAAGTGTGTTCACTTTCCCTAGGTCACCATCTCATATCTTCTCTTCCTCAAATTTCCAACACCTCCTTTCTCATCCTCATTATCAGCTTCCTACTACACTGAGAAAATAAAAGTAACCAGGAAAAAACCCAAAACTTTTCTGTGTTCCCATCATCAAAACTAACACCCTCCTGAATCTGCGCCCATAGCTCTGCTGTCAGTATGGTTGAATTTGTTTCTATCTAAGGCAAAAACCTTCCACTTACATCTTAGATTATTCCATTCTCACCTAGTCAAGATGTTGCTTTAGCAAACGTTCCAGCTCTCTCAAAATTAAACGAACATGATGTTACAATTCTCATCTTTAAAAATACCTCCCTTTGCCTTATCCATTTGTCTAGCTACCACCCTGTCTCTTGGCTCCCCCTTATAGTGGTGCTTTTCAAGAGTTGCCTATACTCATTGTTTATACTTCTTATCCACGCATTCTTACTTCAACTTATTACATTAGGCTTTGGTGTCCACCATTCTCTGAAACTGTTGCTGTCGAGGTTATCAGTGACTTTTAACTGTCACTTCCTGGTCATCATTTGATTCAACTGTCATCAACTTTTGACACAAATGATCACTCCCTCCATCCTGAAGTTCTTTCTTCATTTGGCTGCCAGGACCCCTGATTTCACTGGTTTTGTTCCGACCTCCCTGGCGCAAATTTCTCAGTCTTCTTTTCTGATTCCCCTCCTCTTCCTAAATTCTATTGGTGTTCTTTGGATCTCTTTTCTCTGTCTGAGCTCACTTTTAGGTCATCTCATTAGGCTCATGATTTTAAGTATGACACATATACTGATGACACCTCAGTACATAGTTCCATTCCCGAACTCTGCACAGAACTCTTGATAAACACGTCCATCCAACAGCCTGCTCATCGTCTCCTTTTGCATGATATATAAAGTTTCATGTGTCCAAAATCAAAGTCTTGATTTTCTCTCCCTAAATATGCTCCTTCTGCATTTTTCCTTAGTTACTGGAATTTCTAAGCCTTCAGTTGCTCAGGTCTATACCGTTGGGGTCCATCCTAACTCCTTCATGCCCTAGATGCAAACGGTAAACAAGTCATGCCAATTTTACCTTCAACAAACTTCTTAAAACATATGCTAATGTGCCTAAATGATTATAATAATTCTATCCTTTGAAACATATTTAGAATTTTAGAAGCACCTATAAGTCACAACAAATTTCATGACTACAGCTTGTAATAAAAATCTGTATAATTCACATTTAGTCAAGAATGAAATGTAAATGGTTTTCTTGAGTGAATTATAAATATCCCTGAAAGCCAATCTAAAATAATAGCTTTGGAAATGATTTGCTTTAGAGCAGCATCAATGGAATGAATATTTAATTTACCACGTTACCACTTACAAGTATAATGTTTATGAGGTTTTATAGGTCCTGGATTATTGTTTAAAATTTATCTCCATTCTTAATAATCACAATTTGAGTTAACATCTTAAGAATAGTACAAAGACTTATTTATTGCTCTGTAAGTTGATAAGAATACTATGAAACCATACTGCTTGAGTTCAATACTGGCTCTATCATTTTCTAGAGACATTATCATGGGCAACTCCCTTAAATGCTCTGTGCCTCAGTTTCCTTATCTGTAAAATGGGGATAATACGAGTGCCTACTTTAGGATTTCCTGGAAGGATCGAATGAGACCATGCACTTAAGTGTTTAGGATTAGTGGCTGGCACAGGGTAAGAGATAGGAATGGTGCCAGGAATAAGAATTATATGTGGATTCTTTTTACTAGAAGTCCTCAGGAAACTTGAGGCATAAGTAGAATACCTGAAAGGTTAAAGACATTGTAGGGTTTCAGGAATTGTTCAAGACAGCCATAAAAGTGATATGTGAAGGCATCATGTATTAGTTATTTACAACGTGAGAGAACTGGCAACAAATGTCATAGACATTCAAATGGGAGAGAAAGATTACTTCTATCAACAGAAGTTTAAGACAGTTTGTGGTGAAATTTTTCTTCTGTAAATGCCATTTCCACTCCTAGTAAAACTGAGAAAAGCATGAATTCTGACATATGAATATTCAGAAGCATAGGACTTTAGTACAAACTGCTAATGTAGAGAGCTTTGATTAGATTCCACAAGAGAAATTCCTTTGAAATATAAATACCTATTTATTTGTGTATATAGAAGCTGCCATTTATATTGGTACTGTTACCTACTGAAGTATCACACTGCTGATCAAGTTGTTTTAGATATGCATGTATTTTAAATCTATTATAGGGAGTATCAGTTATATATCTCTGCAGGTGTTTCTTCTTCCTGGCTCAATTATACATTTATCTAAGATATAAATTTAATCAACAGATAGTAAGTGAACACCTACTCTGGGAGAGACACGGTCTTCTCATGAGAGGAACATATATATTGCCAAACAAAAAAATGTAAAATTGATATGGTAATAACAGCTGATCCTTATAGTTTCATTATTTACAGCTTTCAAATGGACATGCCTTACTGAAGTGTAATTAATCACCATTAACCCCAGAACTGTGAAGCTATGTGTACAAGTGGACAAAGTAATTTCAAAGTTTAATCCCAGGAAAGGGGGAAAAAGAGACCTAAATCCTTTTCCCTTCTCTTTCCCTCTAGTTGGCCCGTCACAACAAACTCTTACAACAGATGCTCAAACCAGGATCAGATCCAGATGATGGGGATGAAGCCTTAAAATATTATGCCAATCACACTGCACAGATTGAGGTAACCATCAATTATTTCTTGAAAGGGATCAACTGTGAAAATATATGTTCACTTTCTATTTCAGGACATTTTCATAATTGTTTCCTAGAACAATGAAGCAGAATTGAAAAATATAAACTGGAAAAGTATATATCAAAAGATAAGATGTGAAGAGTCATCTATAAGAAATCGAGGTGCATATCTTTCAAAGCAGTCTTTGATTTTGGCAGATAAAGCAGTCTTTAGTTTTTGGCCAGAACTATATCTAAATTTTCTTTTGTAATTAATGTGACTTTTGTTTTATTTTGGTCATAGAAGCAATCATTGCAGAGCAGTGGTGTTTTCATGAAAAGATTATTATAATAGAAGTATCATTCAAGAAAAGCATGCTCGGTAAAAACTCTAAAAGGCTAATTAAAAGAGATCTCTGTGTAAGACAGTGTTCAAAAATATGGAAGGCGCTATAAAGTTTTCATATTGATAGCATAAACTTGGAATGCTTTATAGCAGTTTCCATTTTCAGTACGCAGCAATTGATGCCCTACCCCCTAAATGAAACAGTATTTAATAGCTGGTGGCAACTCAGAAGATGGAGGTCAACATGGACTTATCATTATGTGTTGTGAGACCCATCTGGCTGTCATTTACTAGCTATGGTATCATTTTGACACTAGTTGGCAGAGCTAATCAGGCAGAAGTGAGCAGAGTAGTTGACGCTTGTCACTTGTAATTTACATTCATACATTTATTCACTTTGGCAGGTATTTTTTTAGTTTTCAGCAGAATGCATGATGGGTAACACTGCTATTAACTCTCAGGGTATATTATCACTACACCTTGTTTCCTATTGCCAAACATTTGGCATAATGAGCATTATTACCTCATATCACAGGATGGATCTCTTGCTCATGTGTATAGACATGAATAATACTGCAGCCTTGGTGGGAGATTTGACCCTGGTAGAACCCATGAGCTGGACCAGAAGCAGAAACATTCTTTATTGCATCAGGTGCTTAGAGACAGAGAGGCTGGCCAAGTCAGGAAGCTGAGGAAGTTGATACAAATTTATCACCAAACCACTTAGGTTCTGAGGAAGGTCCCAGAAGTCACAGTACAAAGCTACAGGATTAGAAGAGGTAGGAATAGTAGGTGGGCTGGGTGGGTCAGAGGAAGGGTCCAGTTAATACCTGTGTGAGAGATGGCAGCTATCATTTGAGGTTGGATTTTTACTGGTTTCCCAGCAATGAGGAGGTATTTCACTGCAAATACACAACTTTAGTAATTTGTTAGCAGATCACTTACTCTCCATCACATACAGAAGATAATTCTGTGTAATAAGTGCATAAACAAAGGGCGAAGGAAATGTAGAGAAAACAGCAATTAACTGTGCCTGGGGAGTTTCAGGATGGATTTTACAGACAGTTGCCAAAAAAATATATTAAAGATTGAGTAGAAGTTTCTTCATTAAAGATTGGGCACAGAATTTCAGATAGAAGTAAATGAAAGAAAGATGTGAAAGAACATATGAGTGGGGGTGTCTCTTTTCAAGAGAACAACTGTGAAAGATGATGGTATTGAAGATGACTACACTGGAGAAAAACGTGTGTGTGTGTGTGTGTGTGTGTGTGTATGTGTGTGTGCGCGCGCGTGCGCACATGCGTGCGTGCACGTCTCTGTGTGTGTGTAGGATATTTATAATGCTCCTTATAAAATGTGATCACCTAAGGAAAAGGGTATGGAAAAGGACACCCCTGGGCTTCTGGTCTGAATAAATAAGCAGAACTGGTGTTGTGCATTGGGGGCCTAGCTCTGAGACCCCAGAGAAAGGAAGACCATTTGTTGGTTCTTGGATAAATAGAACTTGAGGTGACTTTGAGGCATGCATGAAGTTGGGTACAGAAGTCCAGGGTTCAAAGGAACAGTCTGGACTGATGATCTAACTTATACATGTTGACCAGTCCTCATGCTCATTGGAAGACCAGCTCATATGCCCTACGCTGAGAGGCCTCTCACCCTTCTATCAGGCATTCATTAGTTTCATCCCACTGCACCTCCCACAACAGTTTGATCATGCTGTTAAATATATCATATTGGAATATGTGTATTATGTATCACTTGTCCCTTCCTTGAGGCAGGGCCCATTCTTGATCATCTCTATATTTCCAAAACTGACACTGTGCCTGGAGCACCACCATAATAATGACTATTGTTGAAAATAATAGGTTTTCTAAGTTATAGACTGAAAGACACTGGGAAATTTGAAGGACCTTGTGGGTCACCCATCCAAAGAGAAATTATTCTGTAATGATCCTGCTTCCACTTCCAATTCTTCCTGTGATAGAGATCTCACTACTTCAGAAGGAAACAGATCCAATTTTGAACAATTTGAATAATTAGAAAGTTATTTTTTTATAAAGAGTGCACATCAGCCCACTTTAATGTTTACCCAGTGTTCAGAACATTTGCTCCTCCGTCAGCATGATAGCTTGGCTGTACCACTTGAAGACCCATGATGATCACTAAGCTGTAGGCTCCTATAGATTGGGATTCATGATGTTTTTTCACTTTGAATTCCCCAGAGCTCCTTACCTAAGGAGTGAATAGTTATTTGTTGAATAAATATATTGAAAACATTATCCATTTTGGCTTTTTACAGTTAATACATCCCCCTTGTCTGCAGCAATCCCTCTAGTTTGTAGGTGCCCCCTTGTAAAATGTGACAACCAGAATCAAACATAGCATTTCATAAAGGACTGAATAGTTTGGTTTGTAATAAATAAGGCTCTATTTATTTTTCAAAATTAATTTTAATTTTAATTTTTAATTTAAATTTTTAAAAAGTCAAAAGCAATGCACCCATTTTTCCCACATCCTGTCCACTGACTCTGGCAACCACCAATCTATTGTCTGTATCTATGTATATCTATTGTATGTATCTATTTATATTCAGAGTCCACATATAAGAGAGATAATGTGCTATTTGTCTTTCTCTATCTGACTTTTTTCATTTATATGAATAATATAAATGGACCCTTGAGGTCCATTCATTTGTTGTCATAAATGGTGAGATTTTATTATTCTTTATGGCAAATATTCCTCTGTGTATATATACCACCATTTTCTTTACCCATTCATCCATTGACAGACACTTAGGTTGTTTCCATAATCCGACTATTGTAAAGTGTGTTGCAGTGAACATGGGGGTGCAGATATTTTTCAAATTAATATTTTTGTTTATTTTGGATAAATATGAAAAAGTGGAATTGCTGGATCACATAGTAGTTCCAATTTTAATTTTTGAGGAACCCCCATATTGTTTTCTACAGTGGCCACACCAATTTACATTTCCACCAACAGTGCACAAAGGTTCCCTTTTCTCCACATCTTCACCAATACTTAATATTTCTAGTCTTTTTGATAATAGTCATTCTAACATGTGTGAGATGATATCACATTGTGGTTTTGATTTGAAGTTTCTTGATGATGAATGATGTAGGGCATCTTTTCATGTATTTATTGCCCATTTGTCTATCTTCTTCAGAAAATTATCTATTCAGATCTTCTGCCCATTTTTTAATCAGATTGGGTTTTTCCGCTATTGAGTTGTATGAATTCTTTATATAGTTTGGCTATTAGCCCCTTATTGGATATTTGATTTACATATATTTTCTCCCATTCAGTAACTTGCTTTTTCACTTTGTTGATGGTTTCCTTTGATGTGCAAAAGCTTTTTAGTTTGATGTAGTCCCACTTGTTTATTTTTTTTTTATTTTTTTTTAAGCTATTGTGTTTAATTGCTTTTGTTTTTCTTTGTCTCATTGGTATAGCTCATTTACTTTATTTTATTTTTTTTTTATATGAAATTTATTGTCAAATTGGTTTCCATACAACACCCAGTGCTCATCCCAAAACGTGC